CCAGCATTCCACTGTCTACCAAACGACCCGCCAGTGCAGCCTGTGGGGTGCGCCCCTTTCCCAGTCTGCTGTCAGCATGGCCGCCTTCGGGTGTGGGAAGGAACCATGAAAGAAGGGCGTCGTCCAGCACTGCGCCATGATTGCAGCTGTCCACTACTCCTGGGGTGCCTGGAAACAGGGCTGCAGCCACCTCTGGAGCAGTTTCACTTGATGCCCCTCCAGACTTCTGATGCGCCAGAGTGCATGAGATCAGGCAGGAATCTCAGAGCTGTGCGTGACGCCTCAGCCAAAGCCACCCAGCCAACCCAGAGCCTTTCTTGTCTCACGGTCCCGCCCCAGGAGACAGGTCAGGCTCCTATGTGGACTGGAAACACAGGTTCCCACTGAGCCCAGTTCCCCTTCCAGCAGCTGCAGCACCCCCAACCCGAGGACCCAGCTGAGGTGAACAGCACTCCTGCCACAGCCCTCGCACAGGCGCCTGCCCCTCCGTCCACATCGCCACATCCGTCACCCCTCTCTTCCCAGTGCCTCTCCCTTGTCCCAGGATGGCTCCATCACAGTCTTCCCCTTCCCGTAGCTTACCACCTCTCTACTCTCACAATGGCTTTCTGTCCTTCCAGGCCATGGGGACCTCACATTCAAGGGGACAACCCCTTTGTGCTTCCAATTTAGGTCCCTTCACCTCTTGGCAGCAGCTGAGAGCACATTTTTACTGTCCCAGCAGACTCGTTGTAGGGACTGCCCATCCTCAGGTGGACACATGGGTCCTCCTCCTTCCTGATATGGGTGGACACACAGCTGTGTCACCAGTGCCTCCACTGTCCCCTTCCCATGGTTCTCTGGTCCTCTCCAACACTGCCTTGGTTACTTCTGTCCCTGACTCCATGGAGTCCCCTCTGCCAGGCCCTGGCTGATCCCGCCATCTGCTTCTGTTCCTGCACCTTTCGCAACCTGTCAGATGTGCCGAAGGCAGACTGTGCCCCGGCTAACATCCAGGAGTCATGCTCATAGCCCGGCCGTAGCCTCCCCCTCCAGCCACACAACCCTCCTGGCTCCCTTCCACTATCATCTCTCTCCTGAAAACCCTTGTTCCTTTCTTACCTTCCAGTCTCACACAATGCCCTCAGAAGCCCAGCCTGAGGCTTATCAGAGGGCAACCAGATGTCCCTGTTTGCAGAGTCTGTCCCCATCCTGGTAGTTCTGTCCCTGGCCTGGGAAGTCTGGCCAGGCAGCCGGTCTTCTGCTCCCCAGTCCCACTGACCCCCTCTCCCTCCTTCCCTCCACTCAGAACATAGACTGACTGGCTTGGAAGAAGCTGCTCTTTGCTTCATTAATTCATTTTGGGTCCTGTGAGTGAAAGGCTTCTCAACATGGTAGGCAAATAAATGTAAATTTATACATTTGTTCAAAACTAATACGAAAACATGGCTTTAGATTTTCTGGGAAAAGCCTGATCACTCTGATTCCTCCCGTCAACATGTTCCTTTGTGATTTCTGGGCCCTTCAGCTGCTGCTCCCCTAAGGCCTGCCCACCCTCGGCTCCCTTCCCCCTTGTCGGTGCTACTCATTACCAAGGCTGCCGCACACCTGGCTCTCCTCTCCCTTCTCACTGTGTGAATTTAAATGCAGCTATGAGGGCTAAAGCCATTAGAAAATTGCCAGCTTCCCCTAGGGTTTAATCGCCATCTCTCTTGTCAAGCCTGACCTCCAGCTTTCTTCCAGGAGGTCTGCCTGCCCCCAGTCAGCGCTGCTTCTTAACAACGTCAACACGTTCACAGGTGCAGGAACCAAAGCTCCCTGACGAGCTGGCGACCTGGCACGTGCTGCCACTCATACCCTCAGAAGTCTGTCGGTAACTGTTCTCACAGCCAGCCCAAGCTCCTGTCTGTTCTCTGCATTTCTCTGGGCCACCATCAGCCCCTGGTCTCCACCTGTGACAGACAGGTGGCTTCCTGCCTTCTGGACAGCTCCCTCTAACTGTTCCTCCAGTGTGGCCTTGGAGTGTCAGGGCTGTGACAGGCACACCTTCCATCCTGGGCTTTTTCCGTGGCCGCGATCTATTTTGCTATCTGTTCCTTTCCTTGGGACCACCTTGGTGGCTTCTATGACGGTTTCTGGGGCACTGTCTTCCAACTCCTGCTAGTCTGGGCTTTCTGGACCTAGCCTGACCTGCACAGCCTCCCTGCTACCCCTCGCCTGCTCATATGGTCTTCTCCCTGCTATCAGGTGACTGTCCACACCGTGTCTGATTCCACCTCCCTCTCCACCTCAGCCTGGGGCCCGTCTCTTCCCCAGACTCAGGCCTTGAAGGGCGGCTCTGATGTCCCTGCTTCCACTTAACTCAGGGGTTTGCAAACCAGTCTGGTTCCTGTGAAGGCAAAGACAGAACCTTCTGGGACATAACAAGTAAATGTGGTTCTTGTACTGACTTGGCCCATTTGTGAGGCTGAGGAAATGGAGGGGGAGTAACTTGCTCATGACCCCAAAGCCAGTAAGTGACAGTGCTGGGACTACAGCCCAGGCCGATCTGGGGCCTTAACCCTTGCCCCTGGGGTATATGGCCAGGGCCACTTTTCTCCCTTCCTCCATCCACAGCCACAGAAAACGTCTTTTCCGTGTATCTGGGTAGGGTGTCTCAGGGCTGAAGAGTCTGGGGACACCAGGGATTGCCCCTCCACGGGCACCAGCAGGTCCAACAGTGTCAGAATCTGCCCTGGGCTGTAGCAGGGGTCCCTGCAGCAGTGGGCGGGCTCTGGGAGCAGGCCGGGGAGAATGCAGGCCAGGTGTATCATTCCTGAGGTCGGCAAGAAGGAGTGTGCCAAGCCATCCTTTGGAATCCCCCTGAGCAGTTAATGACTTAAGAATCTCAACTCCTCAAAACCTGTAGGCCTGATGTGCTCAACCTGCCTCTGATCTGGTGACTTTTCTAATGTATCAGGATGTACCTACTTACTCATTTGTTATTATCACTCTTTTCTATGGGTCAGTGGCTGCCAAATGGGTGTGGTAGGCCAGGCCCATTGTCCCCCTGGTCCTGGCTTGCCAGGCCCCTGTGCTGTGCACCTTGTGTTTGTCAGGGCTCAGGTGTCTTGAAAAGCTCCAACAGGGAAACAGAAAACTCTCCTGGTGCGATTTTCCTATCTGATCTTTTGTCTCATGTGTTCCCCTTAGAGAAAATGAGAAATACTTCTCTGAATAATTCATAGGCCCCGAGGTGGAAACATGCTACCTCCTTTTAATAAAAAGACTGGGTACATGGTGATGATATACCTCTTCTGCAATGCTCCAGCAAAGGCTCGAGGATGTGAGAAGCTAGCTTCCCAACAAATTCCTCTTACAACACAAGACAAAAATTGAAAGCCAATGCAATATTTTTAATCAAACAGACTAATGTTTAGATAATATGTAAAATTATTTATAAAGCTGCACCAAGTGACAGCACACTCATAAAGGAAGTTGGAAAAAATTAAGTAGCTATAATACGTGTAAGATTTGATTTATTTTTAAAGCTGAAAATGACTGTCTTTGGTTTTCTATTTAATAAGCATCTACTAGGTACTTATCATGTGAATCACTTTGTTTGGTTCTCACACAGCCTACCAGGTTAAGTACCAGCCCAACTTGCAGAGACACCCAGGCTCCTGTGGGTCAAGGACAAGCCCAAGCTCCAACTCTTCGGAGCACTCTTCTGCGGTGCCTAATTCTCAGTAGGTCAGCATGATTCTGCTGAAAACCAGTAGCCATGGCTCAGCCCCTTCTACATTTGCAACACTGGTAAGAAATGGCAAGAGAATGAAGTTTTTTTGATCATCTGGAGAAGACTTTTCTAATTAGTAAAAAATGCCTCCTCAGTGCTGGCCCTGCTTTCACAGCCTGTCCAGTGAACACCTGCCTTTTGCAAGAAGGACACAGAGCCTTGGGCCTCCCCTGAGGTTCCAGAGTGAGTGAGTGATGGCCTGGGACCAGAGCCCCGCACCCTGGTCCAGCGCTCCATCTCGTGCATGGCACACCACGTCTGATGGCGGTGCTCGGCTCCAGGAGGCTGGTGACCGGAGGGCACCGCAACCTCATTACGAGGCTTTTCTTTCCTGTGGTTCATTAAGTCAGGGAGGTCCCACCACCAAGAACAAAACCAAATCTCAGAATCTGAGCCTGGCATGCAGCCCAGGGAAGGGCAGGGCAGCTCCTCGCCAGCTCTAAAGACCCGTTATGTCATGTTTCAGCTCAGACTCCCACAGGGAAGTGACAGCAGATCGAGGGGTCCGCATGGTGTGTTCCCACATACCCATTAGCAACAGACAGAGCCCTCCAGAGTGACCAGCCTGCTTCCCACCTGAGTGACCGACAGGCCAACTCCAGGACCTCTCTCGAGGATTGTCCATGGCAAGGGGTAGGGGAGCAGCAGGTCCCTAGAAGAGGGGCTTGTGCATCTTGGGGTGCTGGCACACCTGTGCACAGTATGGAAACTGGGATGACTCCCTGACTGAGCATCCCACCTCTCAGTGCAATATGGCCAGCCCCTTCCAGACCCTGATAGGAAAACACCTACTAGCCAGTGCCCTGAGAGACAAGCTGGAATCTTGGACCTCTGAAGGAAGGCAGTCCCCAAGTGAAGACCTTTGTTCTGAAATCCCCTGAGGCATGGACATTCCCTTAAAGTGGCTGCTACAAGAGAGACCAAGAGGACAATCAGTGCCCAGGGCCATAGGAATGTCTCTATCAAACCCAGAGCCACAGGGTGGCTTGGACTGCTGACCAGAAGGCCAGTGACCTAAGCTGGCCCATGGCACCTAAACAGGATCCAGGTAGGGTAGCTACAGTTATACACTGTCAACTCCCAGGTGCCCCTGGCATAAACAACCTCAGGAATGGCCTGTGGCTTAGTGCAACAGGACAGTCTGACAAGCTGACTGCATTTGACCTTCGGAACCAGTGTTTGTGGACACGAGCTCCTAGGACAATCCGACCTAGCGGCGGGGCCTCACGCAGCTCTCACTCACCAGCCGCTGCATGCTCTTCACGTGGGTGGGGCTGATGGACAAGGCTTCCTCATACCACCGCTGCGCTTCATCCATGTTCCCACGGAGCTCCGCGACCTGGCCCCGCATGTACAGGACGTTGTGGGACATTGGGAAGAGGTTGGCAGCTTCCTGGGTACAGGCTGTGGCTTCCGCAGGCTTCCCAAGACCAATGTAGACTTCAGCTGTGGGAGGAGAGCAGAAAGCAGATGCTGTCCCAGTTCACGGCCTGTGGGCAGCTGTCACTCTGCTTGGGACCTCTGTGTTCCCCCATGGGAGTCTGGCAGGGCAGAGCCAGCGGGTCCCCTACTCCTGAGGACAGGCTACAGGCCAACATCCCTCATGCCCATTCCTGCCAGGGATTCTGGTCACTTGTGCTGTGAGCCTGGCAGGGCCCTGCCCACCTCAGAGGATGCCTGTCCTCAAGGTCCATCTAGGCCACTGCAGCACCTGGTCTGGCCCTGCCCTTGACTTTAACCACCACAGAGAAAGGGCTGAACGGGCACACAGCCTTTCATAGGGTGACGACTCTGCCCGCCAGCCTGTTCTCCTGATGCCAAGAGTGTGACAAGGTGACAGGCGGAGGCTCACATATTTAAAGGCACAAAATAAAATGGCCACCCTCCAGACCTGGCCCCCTTCTGGGAAAAGTGACTGTACCCTGGGGATTCTTAGCTGTTAAGGTCACCGAAGCCTTTGAGAAACCAGGCTGCCACTTTCAGAACAAGTGAGGAAGAATCTCTCTGCCAAGCCCAGGCCTCGGTCCTCTCACCTCTGCCGCCCTGGCTTCCCCAAAGAGCACACCACACGTGCCAGTGCCATCTCTGTCTTGCCACACAGGTGTGCCACGCAGGTGTCCATGTGGGAACACTGCATCTGCCCCTTGGGCTCTTCTCCCAAGCCCTGTCTGAGCACAGCACCACCGTCTTTCCCCAGGCCGGGCCTGAGGCTTTGGGAACGCTGGAGTCCTCTTGTCTCTCCAGGGCCACCAGGGCCACATCTGTCAGGTCTCCTTCCAGAGTCCTCCTCCGTGGCCACTCTGCTCTGCACTGAGCAATGTGACCCTTTTCCTGCCTGCAGGGCAGCGAAGGACGCTAGGCCTCACCCTGATTGATGTCCCCTCCTGCCCTTCCAGGCTGTCAACGTGGAGTGTACAACACACAAGTGCTCAAAAAACAGGGCGAGAAAAAACGGGAATGCTCTGCCCCTTTCCTCAAGTCCTCACAGAATTGCATGGGAACTTTTTCCACTGCTACAGGGCCTCCTGGTCACTTCTGCCTCAGGGCCAGCCTGTCCTCCACAGACACTGTCCACCAACCTCCAGAGGCAGAGCCTGCTCAGATCCCCCTTGCCGAGGCCTTGAGCTTCTGCTCCCCTTCAGCATCTCCTTCCAGGTCTCCAGCCACCGACAGCCACCTACTCTGCCTCAGCCACACGGCACCCCACTTCCTTTCCCTGCTCAATCCTACTTCCTGTGTGTCCCTAGAGGGTAAGCTGTGAGCTACACAAGGGCAGGACGTGTCTGTGCTGACAATGACTGTGACCCCAGGGACCAGACAGCGGAGCCCAGAGCTTGGCAGGGTGAGAGAGAATGACAGTGACTGACAGCAGCTGGTGCTCCTGAAACTTGCAGGCTCAGGGGCCTGCCCACTCCTCACTGCATCTGCACGGTGACCCAGAAGGCACTGCCATTTGTCCCCATTGCATGGATGAGGAAACAGGCATAGAGAGACTGTGCGCTTGCCCAAGGTCCCAGGGCAGGTCAGGCAAAGGCAGTCCCGGACCCTGGGCAGTCAGGCATGGGCCTGGGCTCTTGGCCTTCAACAGTCTCCTCTGGCCCAAAATAACCTCCAGACTCCTGTGCCTGGCAGTGACCGGCCCACGCCTTCTGACCCTGTGAACTTCCGGCCTCTTCCATGCACCACCAGGCTCTGGCCCGGCAAGTGCTGCTCCATACGAGAGCAGGTCTGCCTGCCTCTGTGCTTTTGTCTGCTGTGGCCTCTGCCCCTGTGAGGTCAACCCCAGGCTCCTTCAAAGCCCAGCTCAGTGGCCTCCATCCCTGGAAGCCATCTATTCTGCCCCTCCTGCCCCTGTAGCTCTCTGCCCCGCTGTGTCCTCGCCAGCATTTTCAGAGAGTCTGGTGTATACAGTGGACTGCAGACCCCCCAGGGCAGGCTCTGCTACAGCCCTATCCTTCTAAATCCCCCGGTTTCACCTTTGTCACCCAGCCAGTCCCTCTCCTCAAGAACTCCCACTGCACTGGTGATCCTACTCACGCCACCGACAGTCTCCCCAGGCCAAGGGAAGGCCTGGACAGAATGGGCATCACCCTGGCACTGTGCCCTCCATCTGCCGGCCCCTTTTAACAACAGCACAGAGAGGTGACGGATTAGCCCAGGATCTTGTAGAGGACAGTCCCAGAGACTGAGGCAGTTTAGGTACAAAGTCCTGAGCACTGAGGTGGCAGTGCCCTGGCTGTGCCTACCTCATTTTTCTGGGAGACTCAACAGGTGCCACACCACACTCGAAGGCGACAAGGGGGATTCAGGCAGAGCCCTGTGCATTCTGGGAGATGAATGCCCTTAATGACGCCACCAGGCTGACTGATGTCTTTCTGGAGCAGACTCTCTCCAAGTGTTCGCCAGGCCAGGTGGCTGTGACAGTGTGGTTTTGGGTTACCCGAAGGCCTGGAGAGCGGCGTGGAGTGTTCTTCTCACTGTACACTGGGCTCCCGACCTGCTTCCCTGTGGGTATGTTCACACACTTCGAGGATCCCGGGCCTGGCAGGTTGGTGAGGCGCAGATTGTTGGCCAGCCTGGGAGCAGGGACTGAGGGCTTCCAGAGTTTTCATAAGAATCAAGTGGGAGGAGCCTTCAACACCCATGTGACAAAACACATGTAAGTCCTGTTCCCTGAGGGTCCTCTGAGAACCCCATATGACACCAATCTCTTATTTATCCCATTTTTTCATAGGCCTCAGGCCTGATGCTATTGCTTCCCATGAGGAGGAAAGAGGACAGAGAATAGGGCCACATCTGACTTCTTTCCAGTGCCAAAGAAGTGGCTGGGGGGACCTACGAAGTCAACAAGGCTAGAGGCGGATGAAGCAAAGAATGCCCAGCCTGGGTTGCTCCGAATCCCATGTGAGCTCAAGTGGGCACAGGTCCTGCAGTGGTTTAGGAACTCTCTTCACCAACGGCGCCTCTTTTCTCCAAAGAGCTCTTAGGCCACCACACAAAAGGACCCCGAAGAGCAGGTGGCTTGGCTTCCCCCTTGATTTGTCCCCACATCTTGCTTCTGAGGCACCACTGGGGTCCCAGGCTCTAGGGTTCCCTGCCACGCACAGTGTCTCGAGTCCCTGGAGTATTTGGTGCTTGCTGCTGGGAGACGTATGCGACCCTCGGCAAGGCAGTCGGTTTCCTAGGCCTGTTCCCTAGAACAGTGGTCAGCATCTAACAAGGTGCTGGGAGCCGGAAGCCCAGAGTGGGAGATGGTGGGGACAGCAGTGGGAACAGCGCCAGGGCAAGCCTCACCCCTCCTGGAGTCTGCAGGTGGTTACTAAGGAATCCTGAAGCTGTTATGCTGAGTCAGGACACCTGGGGATCCAGGCCCAGCTGGTCCATGTTCCCAGGGCTCCTTTAAGACAGTCCCTGCCTCTCCAGGAGGAAACACAATGTGAGGGCACAAAGTCTCTGACTTTAGGAAGGACGCTCTGGTGGAGGGATTTCCAGCTTCAGTCAAGGACTAGGGAAGAAGAAGGAAGGTTCACTGAGGCTTTCCAACATTCCTGGTGTCACCACAGCACACGGTCTTCTCTGCTGGGACACACAGCTGGTCCCAGAATACTACAAGGCCACAGCATTCACTGTGAGTGCATGCTGCTCGGAAAGCCTGGCCTGGGCATCCACAGATCAGATGAGGCCCAAGGTCTCCCCAGAAGAGGGTGCCGTGAGTGTCCATTCCTCACCCCTTGCCTGGGCTGGCTGCCCTCCTCGTGCTCCTGCAGCCGGGTCCTCTCCCTTCTCCACCTTCATTCTCTTCTGAGGCCTTCGGTCGCATCTGTTGGCTTTAAATCCAAACTCCCAAATGCGTGTTTCCAGCCTGAATCTGAAATGTGAGGCAAACACACAGCCGCCTCCCTGGCACTGTCACTTGCATGGCCTTGGGCATGGACAGGACTCCAGAATCCCCCCACTCCCTGCCACCCTGGGACATCAGGTCTTCCCCCAGCTGCCCACTGCGGGAGACGGCACTGTCCGCCACCACCCACTGAAACCCAGGGCTGGGGATTCCTCCTTCTCTGTCACCCCTCATCTTATCCACCAGCCGGCCCCATGGGCTCACCCTGAACGTGCGTCACAGGCAGACCCGGCTCCCCCCCACGGCAACCACCTGGGACCAGTGCTCCCCACTCTCCTCCTGCTTCAAGTCCTCCACGAGCTTGTCAGTGCTTTTAGAATTGGGTTCAAAGGTCTTGACATGGCTCCTGGGGGCACAGCCCATCAGACCCCTGCCTTGCTGCCTCCCTTGGGCCCCTTCCATCCCAGGGCCCTTTATTTCTCAGAGCTCGTGCTGCCTCCAGGCCTTCCCAAGGGCTGCCTGGGCCTCCATCCTCCCTCCTGGGCCTCCCCTGGTCAGTGCTGTTGGAAAGTGTACAGCCTCCTCTGTCTTACTGGGGCGAGGCCTTTTCTCCAGGAGGTCAGAGCAACCTGGACTGCTGCTTCCTGGCACTTGGTAACTTGGGGATTGGGTGCTTCGGCAGCTGATTTGTCCCCATCTGTGAACTCCAGGAAGGCAGGGACTGCGCCTGTCTTCATGACCACTGACTTGCAGAGCACAGCACATAGAGACGCTCAGAGTACTGAGTTGAACAAACAAGGGCCTAGTGAGGGCTACGGTGAGGGTTCTGGGCCACACTGGTGGCCTTGGAATGCAGGCTTCCCAACATGTGAACCATGCAACCTCAGACAGGTGACTTGATGGCTGGGTCTCAGCTTCTTCATGTGGGGTGAGTGAAGTGCACAGTGTACCATCCCATGCCAGGCTGTGATGAGGACCAAACAATCTAAGCCACCGAAAAGCCTCGGAATAACACCTGAACAGGCACTGTGCTTGGTGATGCACCGCAAACTGTAGACCATTAGCCAAGCCCCAAGGAAGGAGGGGTGGGTGGGGCAGAGCTGACCCATCTAGACCAGCACCGGGCCTGCCAGGCCTGGCCCTGGGGACTTCAGGGTCTCCCTCATAGGTGTTCCTGTACCCATATGTGCACATATGGTGGGTCTGGGATCCATCCTGGTCTCATCATGGAGGATGTACCACCACTTGACATTGTCCAGGCAATCTCCTGGCACCTGAGAGTGGGCAGGATGAAGGCCACAGGTCACACCAGAGCCAAGGAACTTGTGAGTATCAGAGCTTTAGATTTCCAGCAGAAATCAGAAAATCTGAAATTGCACATCTAAGAATAGCCACTGGTTTCGGCTGTGAGAGGTGCCAAAGTGAAAGCTATAATTATTAGTCAGTAACAAGTAAAAATTAACCACCTACCGCCAAGTCATTTTTAGCTGCCAACCCAACATGGGACTTGAAAGATGGGGACCGGGAAGCTGTGTGGCATGGAAAGTATCTGGTCCAACTTGGAATTACCATGACTGCATGAGCTTCTGATGCCCACCAGTGAGGCTTGCAGCCCGCAGAAGGAAGGAGCATGGTTCTGACCCCATGTCTGCTCCAGCTCTCCTGACTTCTGCCCCAAGGACACTGCATGGACGCTCCCATCTGTCTACCTGGGTCCCCCTGCTGCAGAGTACAGGGAAGACCCTCTCTCTGACCTTCTGTATAAGAGATTATATATATGAATGGAACTTTCAGAGACCAGAATGGGTAGTTGCTTTCTAAATATCATGGGAAGACCAGATGCCATAGGAAAAGATCGATAAATGTGGTCAGGGCAAAAAAAAAAAAAAAAGACAAAAAAATATGAGCACCTACCACAGACGTAAAACATACAATAAATACTTATGAGTAAAAAAGAAAAGCCCTGTGTCTAGGAAGATTGAGCAGTCAATGGAAACGCCATTTTTTCATGTACTAGGCTGGCAAAGACCTAGGATTCTGAGATTCTATGGTGTTGGCACAGACGGGAGAAAGCGACAGCACACGCTGTTGACTGGAATGGGCGTGATACGACTCCTCGGGAGGCAACGTGACAAACTTTGTCAAGATTAAGGTGTGGCCTTTGACCCAGCAGTGCAATTTTTTGGAGTTTATCTTAGAAATACAGAACAATATATGTAAGGATATTGGTTGAAACATTGTCTGTAATGGCAAAGTACTAAAAATGGTCCAAACCTTCATCAGAGCACTGGTTAGAGGATTTCCACAGCGTTGATTTACACTATGCAGCTGTAAAAAATACAGCTAGTCTCGTCCATGCTGATGTAATGGTCTCCCGGACACCCTGTTAAGAGGGCAGCGTGGACGCTGTTCAGGGTGGGCAAGGTCTTTGGAAGGTGCACAGAACTACCACCCACCTGTGACAGGTAACTGGGGCTGAGGGATAAGAGGAGCCTTTCACTTTACATCCTTCCTACTTTTTGATCATGTACCACGTGAGTGTGCTATTTAAGAACAATTCAGATAGATAAACCATGGAAACAGGTCCAGAACAAACCAAGGAACAAACCTGAAGAGCCCAGGCCAACTCAGCGACCAGGAGTCCTGCAGAGTTGAAGGCCAGGACAGAAGAGAAGGTGCTGAGGGAAGGGAGGGACGGTTCATGGACAAGCATCCCCTGTTTCCTGGGTTTGTATTATAGGCTGGGTCTTTGGCCTGTTCCCTCACAGAGTGGTGAGAGGCTCTGGTGTCCTGCTTGTGATCACTTGCCATCAGATGCACATGTAAGTGTCCCAGAAACCCTCTGATACAGTGTGCATCATCTCAGAGTCACCTTCCTGCAAGATCAAATCTAGGGCCACAAGCCCAGTATGGAGGTGCACACCTCTAATTCCAGCTACATGGGAGGCTGAGGCAGGTGGGGTTGTAAGTTCTAGGCCATCCTGGGCAACTTAGTCAGTCTCTGTCTCAAAATAAAAATAAATAAATAAATAAATAAAAAGGGCTGGGGATGCAGCTCAGTAGTAGAGCATTTGTCTAGCGTGCACAGCCTGGATTCAATCCCCAGCCTGCCCAAATCCCCAGCTCCAGCAAGAGCTCCCATCGTCAGCTCCCCTCTACCCTCAGTTCACCAAAAAAACAACCAAGAGAGAAAAGGCCCACACCTACCAAGGAGCACCAAGGCCCCAGGTGTTGGGACTTGATTTCATTTCTGGAAAGCATGCAAAATTTATGAAATCTGGAAGTATCACTGGAGCTGATGATGGACACGGGAAGCAGATGTTACCTGGTTTTGATTAACTGTCAACAATTGAGGACATCTTTATTTTGCCTTTCAGAGCAGTGGAGCTCAAACTGCATGTGGTACATCCTGAGTTCAGCGGAAACTGTTTTTTCCTGAATTTGCCTCTTTGAAGACTATATGGACATATAATATAATTCCTCTCTTTGAAGAGTCAATACAGCGCAGATCCTAAGACCCTAATTGGTTCCATTCATTCATTCTGTACTCAGCGCTCACTCCATGTGTACAATATGCACGGATCTATAAGGAAAGCATGGCAAGTACTTTTTGTAGTTCAATGCCAGCCTGTAGAACATTAAAAACATGCTCATTAACTAGTAATGAGACCTTTATTCTGTCCTATAGGCCACAGCAATGATAAACGGAGATTACGGAATTATATAAAAATTTAAGGATAGTTCCAAACTATAGTCTTAGTCACCAAGTTCTTCAGTGTTGTCATAAGCAGCTGTAGTACCTCCTTCCAGCATCATGGCAGGCCACACAGAGAGGAAAGTCCTGGATGACAGAGTGAGGGGCAGCAAATACCATGCAAAGCTCCCTGTCATGGAAACAAGCAAGAGAAGCAGCCTCTGGGCTCTAGACTTCGGCCCTCCAAAAGCTCCATTTCAAGCCCTATTTAAAAGACAGCCTTGAGGCTCACCCAGGTTCCCCTGACCTGGGCACTAGACCAAGTTCCTTGTTCTCTTCTCCATGGTCTCTGCTTGTAGAGGGGACTGGACAGGATGGCACCAGAATCCTCATCTGGGCCTGGCTCTTCTGTCAGACCTGGAAGGAGGTGTGCATCCCTGCTGTGCCTGGCCCTCAGAGGCAGCCTGCTGCCATCTCTCTGGGCAAAAGGCCCAATGCTGGGACAAGAACAATCAGACACTCATGAATCAGCCTCTCTTGCATTCTGCTCAGAGGAATATAATTTGCTAATTTACGGCATTTGTTATGGCTCAATTAAAGATGCCATCACAGAATGCTGACTGCTGGGCTCCGAGACTGCCAAGGCCAGGTAAATCCAGCCACGCAGGCACACACAGCTCCACCAAGGTGACACACAAGGCTGAACACGGTGCAATCAGCCCTGACAAAAAAGCAGTAAACAGATGCGCAACTGGAGGGCAACACCCGCCCTCTTGGCTACCTTTGGTGCCACCCTGTAGGTGAAGCCTCAGAAGTCCTCATCAGGGTCATGCAGATCAAGTGATAAAACTTTTATGTACAGGTAAAAATATGCAAGTAAATCAATGGCCATCATTTCCTGGGGAGCCCTGTGTGGTGGTATTCTCATTGCCAAAGTGCCCGTGTGTTAGACTTACTTCTGAGATTTCTGGGTGCACAGAAGAACCCTGAGCCAGCTGGCTGCCACATGGAGCTAGGGCAGGTGACCAAACTGGCTTCCAGGCCAGCTTCCAGACCAGTGGCTACTGCTACTGTCTCCCTCTCTGTGGGTCATCCATGGTGCCATCAGAGGGGAGTAGGAACACTGCCCCTGCCCTGGCTTTGATAAAGACATCTGTGAAACTAACAGCCCCTGTTTCTCTCCTGGAGATTCCTTGGCTGCTGGGACGTGTCATGCACGTTGCTCATCATGTACTACTCTAACCCCACCCTGTAGATGAGGCAGAGGTCAAGACAGAACTCAAGTCTACTCAGCCAATAAGGAGCACAGCTGAGATTCCAAGTCACCCACAAAGACAGTGCAGGGTATAGCTTTGGTCCATCTTCAGCACAAACCCTGCACCCCACACGGCGGACCCCCCAGGAATCTTGAGTCCCATTCAGAAAACCTCTCCTGGTGGCTGCCACTCTAGGCGAGGCTCAGGGTCAGCTGTGAGCATGGTGGGACAGGGAGAGAGTAACTCATGCCCTGGAACAGAAGGAGCAGTTTGGGGCTTGACCGCAGAGGCTCTGATTTCTCCTCATGAGGGGTCCTAGTGCTACAGCTGAGCGCTGGCAGGACCCTGCAGCCTCTGGCCCAGGAGTGGGTTGTGGGTGGTGGGCGTGTGTAGGAGCCCTCAGGGAAGAAAGGAACAGAGCTATACCTGCGTGGAGCCAGATCTGTGCCAACGTCATCCAGGGATGTAGTGGGCCCTGCTTGGGGGCACTGCTCTGCAGAGATGAGGCCACTTCTGACAGTGCCTGCTCCACTCTTGAGGCTGCTACCGACGTGGCGTGGACAGAGCCTATGAGAGGTTTCGAGAATACTGTATCAGGAGCGAAAAGGCAGATCAACCGCCACACACCAGGCAGACGACCCCCTCCCAGACACAGACACAGTGCACAACGTTCACACAGCCCTTCCAGGATGTTTCTGAGTTTCTGCCCATAAAGAAATCAGGACCGTTATGGCTTGGAACCTCAGTCTCCTCCTTTTGCTTTGACTGATCCTACAGTCAACACGCAGAGCGCATGCTAGGCCAAGGGCTCCCTCCAGGAGCTTAGCACGGCACGGTGAGTGTTGGGAGCAGGAAGGGAAACAGCTAGACACACAGCAGTGATACAGTGTTAACAAATGGCGTGAATGAAGGGCTACAGAGGGACATTACAAAGCACCCTGTAAGGGCCTAAACTTGGTAACTCTACAGGAGAGGGCAGGGAGCACGGTGCTTGCCTCCAAGGCAGCAACTGGAATAGACTGATGGCCATTCTCAGGACAGTCCAACAACTTCCCATGTCATTAGTGGAGCTGGGCCTTTGAGGTGGGCAACACTCCTGGACTGGGAGTTGTATCACATGGCATGGCCTACACACTGCAGAAAAAGGACCCTCTTGTCCCAGGGTAAGCCAGCATCTATTCTTAAGGCTGATCCCAGACTTGTGGAGGACGGCTCGTAGCTAAGACACCTGGGGTCATAATACCTGCCTAACTCTTCTGTAAAACCTGCTGTCCTGAAAGGCTAAGAAAGACACCACCGAGGGCTGGGGATGTGGCTCAAGCGGTAGTGCGCTCGCCTGGCATGCGCGCGGCCCGGGTTCGATCCTCAGCACCACATACAAACAAAAGATGTTGTGTCCGCCAAAAAATAAATAAATAAATAAATATTATTAAAAAAAAAGAAAGAAAGACACCACCGAGCACGGTGCCAGGCAAAGGCACAGTGTGGAGAGTGAGGCAAAATGCAGGGTGCCTTGCAGAGGACCTGACAACAGGAGACCACCTCCATAAACAGGGCTCGCTCCCCACCTGTCCAACACTCCTGGAGGTATGATTTTGGAACCGAGAGCACTTATTTCAAATTTAAAACTGTTAATGTTTACATTCACCTGTGACATTCTTAATTTATAATTTACAGAGGTACACATTTCAACACTGTTATTCGTAACTATCAGCTCATCATGAAGTTCCAAACAGTGAAAATATGTAAATATAAATGCTGATGACGAAGCTGGGGGTAGCATGTGCCTATAGCCCCGGCAGCTTGGCGAGGGGTGGGGGCTGAGGTAGGAGGATCATTTTAACCCACAAGTTTGAGACAAGCGTAGGCAACATAAAGAGACATGGTCTCAAAATTTTAAAATGCTGACTATGCAAATAAAGCAAGTTTATTCTACTCTGGATAATACAAAATCATAGGCATAAACATATTTTCAGTTGGGATTTGGAATACACATCATTTATTGACTTTAAGAGGATCTGCAGTAATAACTGGCCATCCATGTGGTTTGACTGCAACATGACAGTAGTGTGAATTCTTCTAACTATACTCAAATCCTTTGATGGGTTTGGTGGATGTAAATCAAATCTACTAAAGGGAAGGCATTCCACCTTCCCCAGGCAGATAATCTGCAGACAGGCCCCAAGGATGCCTGAGAGGATAATCACCTGGAGGAAAGGCCTCAGAAGTGTGCCAGAGGGAAAGTGGCCATTCAGGAAAGGCAACTGAGGCCAAGACGAGAGAGTCTAACTGATGGCATTCATGAATGGGCTAACCAACAAAGTTTGGCTATGAACTTGGATAAATATGTCTAACTATCTTTTGGCAACCTAAAGAGCAAAATGATTAAACTGCCATGGATATTTTTAGTCTTATTTTGTTTGATACAAAACAATATTTTAACTTTGATAAGAATGACTTGATATGGCTTCCCTGAGACTTTCAGTAGCAATGATGGGTCAAACAGATGATTGTCCCGGAAGTGGCTGCTGCTGCTGCTGCTGTTGCTGCTGTATTCTGCCATTATCATGCTAGTTTGTCTGGAACAGGGGTTCTCAACACTGACTTCACATCACAGTCATTGAGGGTTAGAAATCATGACGCTGCAAGGACAGCCTACACAAAGGAGTCACTAACTCTCGGGGCAAGGCCAGGCATCTATTTGGTGACTACTCCCCATACTTCTAACCTGCAGTCAAGCCCAGAACTGCTTGCCTGCAGGGACAGGAGCAGCTGTGACCAACACATGGTCAGGAAGAGACTGGACCCAGGCTGGCAGCTGGAGTGCTGTGACTTCCCTGTAGCCCATGGCCACCTGGGAAAAACTCCTAAGAACTTGTTTCCAGAACACAGGGTCTTGGACTCAGCCTCAGAATCCCTTTGGACTCGGAAAATTATTAAAGACACTAAAGGGATTTATGTGGGTTTTATCTATTGATATTTAGTTACCATATTAGAAACTGAAACTGAGGTTTATAATATTCAGTTATTGATTCATTTAAAGATAATAATGCACAATGGGCAGTAGAAGAATTCATAAAATTCCTACCAGGTTCTATGACTCCTTTGCCACCAGGACTTGTGGCTTTTGGAGGGGTTAATTTTGTTTTTTGGATGAACTATTTATTTGGTCCACAAATGAACTAATCAAAAACTATTGCCAAAGTTCCTTCTCTTTGTGAGATCTACATGTGACTAAATTAATTAATTCTTAGCCTTGCAATCGAGTCCACTGTGAATAGAGTCTGGAAGATGAGGAGTTGACCTCGACAGTGTTGGTGGTCATCAACCGTGGGGGACAGACCACTTCGGGATCTGTGGTTAGCACTTTGCACTTAATCTTTCAACAACGCTGGGAGGCAGGGAACAATGTTTTTCTGCATTGTTTAGGTGACAGAATTGAGACTTGATGAGGTTATGTAACTATCCAAAGTCACATAGCCAAGCGGTGGCAAAACCAGGACTGAACTGGCCTGACTCTAAGTCCAGCCTCTAAGCCCAGCTCCGAGGCCACCTCCTCTGGGGAGGTGGCTGCGATCTTTTGCTCCTCCCTGCAGTGAGGCTTCCTTGCGTCCTTGATGCTTCCCTGTGGCTGTCACTGTCACTGTTTTGCTGTAGAAGGAAGGATATCTCCTCTGTTTAGGACTCTGCAGAGAACAACAGTGCCAGGCCCACCCTTGGGGTGAGTGGACGGGCAGCAGAAACAGACAACGTCATCATGCGACATTTGGAAGAGCATCCCACTTTTGGATGTGTGCCTGCTGTGTCCACCTTCCTCCCTGATACAGGATCAAGGCCAGAACCGTCACTGTTCCCGAGGGCTTTTTAGTGCCGCTGTCACCACTTCTACCAACCTGGACTGAAAGTGTTGGTGGCAGATAATTAAACATCAGGTGTCTGTGAGTGACTCCCTGCCAATGTAACTAGCCCATTAAAACAGAGAATGGTGGCAGGTTTTCCATAAGTACTTCTTCCCTCCTCAGTCAACTCCTTGTCACCCATACTTCACAAGGCCACAGCCTTCACATTCTGAACCAGGATATTAAAGCGTTCAGAGATTTGTTAATAATAGCAGATGACTAATGACGATGGTAAAAGTATAGAATAGTTAGCATCTACTATTCCTGGCAATAACATGATAAATAAATATCTTCCACAGGATTAGAATTTGGGGAATGATTAAAAAAAAAAAAACCAAGACAACCTGCGTCTTACTGTTCCACAGGACTGAGGAGGTGCCAGGACAGACCCTGGACTTTGATTCACGCAGGTAAACCACAAAAATGCTGGCTCTAACCCACACATTTCAAGGAACTCTTCTTTCTTATCAAAGCAGCTGCATCCCTGCATTTGTACAACCTCTGGTGGAAATGGACAAATTGAGGCTTGCAAAGGGAATCAGAAGAATTGAGGACATAGATCCAATGTAAAATCCAAGTCTGGAAAATGTTTCCAAATCACCAGGCTCCACGAGTGAGCAGGCCGGTGCCTGGCTCCTCCTGTCTTATTAACCACACTAATTGGAGAAGGTCTCATCACAGCCACGCCTGGGGCCTGTGTGCTGTAAAGCAGCTGCTGGGCTCTGCCACAGTGATGCGCCCCTTCCCCTCAGGACACAGTGGCTTGGAGAAGCCACTATGCTGAGCAGCAATGCAGGCAGGGAAGAGTACATCCTCAAACCTGGCCCAAGCTCTGTGACCTAATTGCCAGAACAGTCCAGGACACAGGATGCTGGAGCAGAGGCTAGAGGATTTCCTCAGGCCAGTGGTTTCCGAGCCTGGACCATCTCAGACACTGATACAAAGCAAAGTGCCATCTGAGGAACTATTCTGCTTCCTAATCTGGTGCTTTCTTCTAGGTACCCTCTGATGACCGAGTGGACGTGCTACAGGGGGTACCAGGAACTGTGTTGGAAAGACCTTTCTCCAAGTTGAGAGGGGCAGGAACCTAGGCCACTGATCTCCAGACACTGCGAGCCCACGCTCTGAACCTGTCCAAGCCTCCCCGCCACGTGCTGAGGCTCTCTGAGAAACCCTGCGACAAGTAGGACACGCCAACAGCTGGCTCAAATTGCTTGGCAGTGAAATCTTCCCAACGTGCCTTTTCCGCTAAAGGAAACAGACGCCTCTGGTCTGCTTCAAATGCAGCAGCTGGGTATGAGCCCTACTTTACCATCAAAGTTCATCAAAGGGATCTCAGAGCTGATAATTTTAAGCAAAAGCTAGAAAAAATTATTCAGATCACCCTGTTTTCACAGCAGGGTCCCCAATTGCCTGGCATGTTTCTATTCCAGCTGCCCCTTTGGCTTCCTGCTGGATTAGACAAGTGGCTTCAGTCTGAAGGACCCTGTGCCTGCCCTCTCCCCTCGTGTCCTCACAGCGTGGAGAGGATGAACTAGATCTCGGGTGAAATGCTGCCCAGCTTGGGCCTCGCTGCATGTTCCAGTGCCAGGAACAATGGGCAACTGTTCCATTATGTGGAACATAAAAAAGTCCCCTACAAAAGAGACATAGGTAGACATATCTGGC